TACATTCTACACCAATTTAATTGGTGACAATCTAAACAATCAAATATACATGTTTTAAAAGATCGTATTGACACACCTGTAATTATTAATTTTAAATTATTTATTTATGTTGTCAGAAAATAATTTTATTAAGATGATAATAATAATAATAATAATAATAACAATTTATTCGATTTTTCTATAGTTGTCATCATTTGAATCATTAGATTCGTGCTCCTCAAAAGACTCTACCAGTTTGTTCAAGGGATTCTCATCCAAAGCATCAAGTTCTTCTATGTGCTGATTGCCTATTTCTAAAAGGGTTGAAATATTATTGATATCATCAAATTTAAATGGTTCTTCAAACCAAACTTGCCATCGCTGATATTTATTTCCCAAAATAGTATACCATTGTTGATTAATATCGCCTTCTTGTGCAGAGAGCATTGTGCTATTGAGATTATCTGCCCAAAAAAGTTCACCATAACGTAGGTCTGGGTTGAAGGGATCTGGAATACAGCTCCCAGTGCCCATAGAAAGCATAAAAATTTTTTCACTGGCAACATTGTATCGAATAGCTTCACCATAAGCTGCCATTGCAGGATAAGATGTAACACAACATCTAGAAAAACACCCTTACCCTCTATGTTGTAGGGTGGAAAAAAATATGGTGCGGCTGTTGTGGCCATTAAAGCATCAACAAAAGTATCATTTCTTGATTCATCCTCAAGTGCATCAAAGTGTGTAAATAAATGCGAGTAAGTAAAGCTACCTTCTTTGCATGTTGCAGGGATAACCAATTGAGTAAGTGCATGATCTAATTGAATGCCATCAAAATATTCTTTAAACATTGAAAGACGACCTTCATTGTTATATTTTGTTATATTTGGTTTGAAGATGTTCCATGAATTATTCAAGGTGAATAAACCTTTTGCTTTATCCTGATAAAAATCCAATAAAGATGAAGCTGAGAATAATGGTTTAAACTCTGAATATTTGTATCTAGATGATTCTGTCAATTCTGTTGAGACTTGATGCCAGGATGGTGCTGATAGTCCAGCAGCAATGATCCCGCCTGTGGATGTTCCAGATATCATGTTAAATAGATGAGAAATGGGTCTATGGGCACGATATTCTAGTTCACTGAGCCATAAAGCAGGTAATATTCCACGTATGCCACCTCCATCAATGGAGAGGATTCTATAAACATGATTATTGTTACGGGAATTTATTAGATAATCTT